AGACTGTACGGAGTCAAACTGTTGCATCATGGACTGGAAAAAGCTGTTGCGCCACTGTGTGAACGGTCTTAAAGCTGTCGTAGCTTCTCCGGACGCGATGATAAACCTGGCCAACTGGTTCCAGGCTCTGACATTGATTAAGCACGCCTCTTTGTGGGAGCTTGCTGGGGCGACGAGTCGCTCGATCAAATGGGCGCCTGGGCGAAGTTCTGCCGGCGAGGCCCAGAAAAGGGTGCAGAGCAGATCATGGTGGTTTCGTAACGCAGCCAAATCACGCTCCTGGATCGTCTGCTCCTTTAGGAGTTGCCGGTTGTGGTTTGGCATTGTCCGGGCTATCAGGTTCCGGATGTCTTTCAACGAGCCAGCGGCGCCTAACTTCTTGATACTCAAGGCAACGAGCTTGAGGAAGATGTGGAAGCACTTGTCGGCCTTATCAACAGACAATGAGGGGCTTCCTGCGAGCTCATCCAGAAACTTGGGCGAAGCGAACACCTCTTCATTGCGCAGATGAGCGAGGTCCTGCGAGCCAAAGAAGTCAAAGATGACACCGATCACGGCTACACATTTGTGCCAGCCCCATTGCTGAACAAGATAGTGGCAACGGCCAACGAGGGCCCGACAGTAGCTGTTGAAGCTTGGTGACTGCCGTGGGTTATTCTTGTAAACCTGGAAAACTTTCTTGAGCAGTCTTTGTGGTAATGCCCAGCCATCGACAACTGCATCATGCCTTCGACCTGCAGCAACGATACCTTTGTCGTTAAACTCAGTGAGTGGGAGGAGAAGGAACATGGTTTTCCACAACCGCTCGTGCTCCGTCGCATCGAGGCTTTCTGAAACCTCAGGCGTGGCTATCACGGCGTACAGAATGTCCCAGAATGAGCCCCGAGGAATATGGGCATGTTCCAGAGTCTTCATGGTAATAAGCCAGGAGTGAATGGCGGGCACATCATCTCTCAATCCTCGCTCTCGTGACCGTGAGTTCTTCAGGTCACTGTACACTTTTTTTATGTTGTCCGTCCCAGCCTTGGAGAGTGATATAATTGCAGTTCTGGCCAAGTCCTTCACCAGATCCTCCATTTGAAATTGATCGTTCGCCAAAGAGGGTTCACTTTGGCAAAGTCTCAGAACAAAGAGCGTGGCAAGAAGCAAGTAATCATAGACCCTTGCAATAGATAGATACTGGTGTTGTGTGGTGTTATCGCCACGTCCTAGTACCGCTTGTATGCGGCTATTGAATCCCTGGAACGCCTCAAGCGCCCTCCCAACGAAAGACTTCGCCTGTGTATGGTCCGTGAAGCTCAAAGAATTCAGCATGAAGTTCATGATGAACCCTGCAGCACTCTTTGCAAATTTGGGGTCTTGGGCTTGTTTGTTGACTGACGTGTATTCGAGCTGGTCTACGATGGAATCGAGAAGCATACCCAGCTCAGAGGACACTTGCGAGTCCCAACGGCCCCATCTGAGGATTTGCTCTCCAAAGCTCAACGATACCCGTGGTCGAGTTTCCAGTAGATGCTGGCACCTCGGGCCACTTGATACAGATTCAAACACACCACTTCCAATAAGAGTTGACTCGTGGAAGTAGACCTGAGCATCTAGAGGAAAAGTCTCAAAATGATGGGTGTACTGTGTGCCATACGGCCCCAAACCTTGAAGTTTCTCCTCATTCGTCACTACAGACTGAGCAGGCTCTGAGATTGGGGCAAACTCGACGGGGATAGGATCATTCGCACGACTAAACTGTGGTGCTTCGACATCAATACGTCGAGGTTTGGTCTTCTTTCGAAATCGCGATTTGTTCAGGTTTTGAGATGGTTCCTCAACGGCTCGGAGAGGCACTGGATCTTGTTCGGGAGGTGGACTAGCTGAGTAAAATGTGTCGGGCTCATGATCAAAGGTCATGATGCTTGAAGCAGAAAGGTCACCACGTTGCTTCCGGTACAGACGATCCAGACGTTTCTTGGTTGCGTTGAATAAGAAGCGACTAGTCTGGTCTGTTTCATCCGTTTCCAGTTGAGCCGGGCGCACGACTCCTGAGCCAGAACGGGACAAGGGTGTGCTGGTAAGGCCGTTCTGGCTCATTCGAGTTTCTGCATGAGTACTGTCTGGCTGATACCTGACTGAACCTGCCTGGCTCACTTGTTTGACCAGGCGTCGAGATGCTCCTAGGGCCAATGGCATCCGTCTTGGGATAGAAGAGCCATTCCCAGATGTTTCACGCAGAGGTCGCTTCGTTTCCCTGTACCTAGGGTTCGGTTTGGCTTTGGCTTTCTTGGCTTTTCGAGCAGCAGTGACCGACTGGCGTTGGGGGATCGAACCGACCCTCCAGTTATTCAAGACAGATGTCGCGTCAATGTGGTCCTCTCTAGTAGCAAGTTTGATCAACTTTTTACCAGGACTACTCCTACCCATGTCTCGGCGCCGGAAGGCAGACCTCGCAGCAATCTTGAGAAACCTTGGTGCGTCTGCTTCGACAACGTCCAGAATACTTAGTCGAGGTGGCGCATACGGCTTGTTCTTCGTGGACCGTTTCTTTCCATTGGACTTGGGTTTCAATGTAGGATGGCGGTACTTTTTCTTGACAAGCTCAGGTGCAGGCACAGAAGTGCCCCGAGTCCCAGCGAGCATGCTAGTAATTCTGGGCTGATGGGGTTCCTTGAGTGCTACTTGTTTCCGTTGAGGATCGGAAGTTTTGTGTCGTTTTGCTGGGCCACGAAAAGAGTCCGCAAGCTTCAATTGTCGTTTCCGTCCAGTAAACATAGGGTCAATAGCGTTGTCCTCGATCACAGATCCCTCATCATCAGACAGGATTTCTGAAATGGTTATAGGCCCGTCGTCAATGGTTAGGCGGGTTTGGTTGTGGAATACATTGTCAGTTGTTTCCTGTTGCGGGGCTGATGCAGGTGTTGGCGAATCTTCATCAGAGTCTTCAAAAAACATCTCAAAGTTTGTGACAGAATTTGACGAGGCGACACGCCTCTGTGCAACACCGCGTCTTATTTCTCGTTCGGGCGAAAAGGCAACAGCTCGTTTATGAATGTCTTTCGGGACCTTCTTGTGACCAGCTTGCTGATCTAGCCGTAGCCAAGATGCAGGAAGGACTCCTCTAATGCGACGGCCAACCGTGTTGACAATCTCAGAGCCACTCTCAGAGGCTGAGTCGGATTCAGATTGAGATGCGGCATCTTCGTGGTCTAGCTGCTCGGTGGTGGTAGGGCCAGCGAGTTCATCCTCGGAGTCACTCACATTGAAGATGGTGGATCGCTGTGTCAACCTCACAAATGACTCGGTCTGTTTGGCTGACACTAATGAAGATTCCGAAGACTCACGTTGATGTTTCTCTTCATCGACGTGTCGTCTAGAACTGCGTGCTGCGGCAGGTGAGTCTGTTGTGCCAGGCCCAAGTCTGAAAACAGATGCAGGTTCAAGGGGATCGCTATCCACAATATCATATCTCTTGCGCTTCCTTGTGGAAGACCGAGACGGTGACGATTTCCGTTTGCCAGACGGCCTCGCAGTCGTGATAATCGGTTGTCTCAGCAAGTCTTGTAAAGCTGGAAGATCATCGCCGGCCATGCTCGTGTTTTCTGTATCGCCTGCCGAGCTTGCCTGACTGCTGGGCCCAGCACGATCGTTCATTGGCGACGTCTTCGGTGGTGAAGGTGAGGGAGGATCGAGAGTGTCCAAGGCGTCCAAGAAGTCCTCCGCACCCTTCAATTGGCTTTCATCAGACACTTCCTGTATGTTTGAGCCTTGGCTATCATCTTCAAAGTCCTTATCCTGCGAAGAATCTTGCTCAGCCTGTTGTCGACGTCGTTTTTCTCCTTCCATTGCAAGTCTGATTGGTCGGACGCCATGGCTCTTGAGCGTATTGGAATAGCGGGACAATTCAATGGCATAAGGGCGTTCTTGGATAGGCTTTCTAGGGCGAAATGACCGTTCGTAACGAATAGCAGCTTGTTGGGCAGCCTGGTTCTCGGAGGTAGTGTCCAGAATTCGTCTAGGTATGGATATCGCATGGTCATCTCCAAGGACTAGTGACGAGGATGGATGCTCAGTATCCCGGTTGTCCTCGAATTCGGGAGCTGGGGGCGGTGACGATCGTTCAATCGCTATGTTTGGTGTTCCATTACTGGCCGTATCGTTTTCCTGGGCTTCATTCAACAGCGTAGCTTCGGTCGTAACATTCAGTCGTTCAAGGTCAAGGCTGTTGATATCAGGTAGGTCAACATCTGAGTGTATGGATGATAGAGGCGATGATGACTGAATATCGTAGATATCAGGAGGAAATTCGTGTCTTTCGGGCTGTCTTGGCGTTACTTGTGGTACTCGAGCAGGTGTCTTGGTTGAAAGAGCATGGTGGGTAAGCTCTTGTGAGGAACTGGGGACATCCCAGATGTCGCGATCTTGATCCTTCTCCTCATGGTTGGCCGTGTCAGTTTGTTGATTGTTGGGTCGTTCACTAATGATCTTATTCGCCTGCGTGATCGTAGATAATGACGGTAATTCTTGGCTCTCGAAACCATCTTCTTCCTCAGAATCAGGGACTTCTCCCAGTTCCTTCCAATTACTCATTGTCCATATGACATTATCTTGTCGCATGCATGATGGAGTTGCGAGATTTTTGCTCAAACGACTTGAAACAGTAGAGAGATGGAAGTGGAAGTATCAATACCGAGCGTGGTGTTCGCGGTTCAGCAGGTACGTAACTCTTTAATTGATTTCATTGCTGGGGCGTGGCGGGGAACGCGGTCGAGGAAACCAGGAGACGCGTCGGGGACGAGCGCAAGTGCTCACAGACACGCGAGGTCCCTTGACAAAGTTTCAGTGGACGGTCCACTATAAATCTGGTCCCAACCTAATTATTTAGGTCGAGGTCGAGTCCGAGGTGGCTACCTGTACCCTTGACTTAACGAAGTTTGAGACTTGCTCAGAACTAGGGGTTGGTCGAAATACTTCAAGACAACCTAATCGCTTCCTTCTGACATAGTATACTCAAAATGCATGTTTTCGAGAGAGCATTGCCTTTGGCTTTGACTGTCTTTTGCGGTGTGGTTGGAGGTTAGTTTCGCTGCAGGTCCTATCGAAATCGTCATGCTCAGCAAAACACAGGATTCTACACTTTTCAGCCAATATTTGCAAATGATGCGCAAAAGAATCTTGACTCTCCGCCGGCGTCATTAATTCCAAATGAGAAGGAGACGGGGGAAGAAAAAAAAGCTGCAAGGAACAATTGACAAATCTCAGCCAAAATTTAAATCGGCCACCTAAAACTTGCAACTATCTTAGGTGGCAATTGCGCGCAGGGACGGGAGAAGAAGATCGCTGTCTTTGGACGGACCTACCTGGAGAAAATGTTCTCGAATTCAAGTATCTACACGCCAAACTATTTCTTTCACAGAGCTCAAATAACACCACCAACCTCTTCTGTAAGATCTCCCAGTCTGAGGCGCATCTGGTTCTCCTCCCACCATCCCCCTCCTCTATCAATCTTGCTGCCAAACAGGATTAAGGCCATATCCTATTCGCGAATGAATCGAATCCAGTTCAATAATAATGAGACCAAGTGTTACTTGTGCCACAAGACTACTGAAAAGGGCTGCATACAGCTCAGCACCGAGGTCAATGTTCTCAACTTCGCCATCATCAATCCTGCTCATGTCAATGAGACCGCCCAGCGAGCCCTCGACGTCTACGGCCAGCTTTTGCACTGATCAGAAACTTGAGCTTAATGAATGGGAGCTCATATGGTGTCACCTATTTCTACAAAGCAGCCAATGACTTCATTACCTTATGCGGTGCCAAGTCTCGTTAATGTGTATTAACAATGAGCTCTTCTGACATCGCCTGGCCTTATCGCCTAGCTTTGTTGACTTAGGACGGATCACTGTTTTGGCCTTCTACAAGGGGCAGGTTTCTCTTGCCGCTGAGAAACTTCGTTACGATCTATGTCTCGAACTCGAGAATCCCTTGAAGAGGCACATGGCCTTAGGTTACACTCTTTCGAGGATAACGAAAGCAGTTTGGGAGCATTTTCGAACATAACAATGGAATAACTCGGGCCTCCACCGCTGGATGGTCGCCAGTGCCGTGAAAGGGGCGAGGCTACCGTGAAAGCGTCAACCCTTTCAGACTGCGAACCCTCAAGAGCGAGGCTATCGTAAAAGCATCCAGCGTCCTGGCGCCCTATGCATTTGGGAATTCGCAGGCTATGATGCATAAGCGACTTGGACCCGTCCTTACTCCTAAATGCAGTTAATGCAGGTGTCAAAGGCCTGATAGTCTGTCTTAGGGCCTGTGACTCTGCTGAGATTTAGTTATTTTGGTGTTGAGAGACTTGGGAAGTTGGATATGGATTGAGCTGAGGCTGTATAGGTTGTGTCGATGATTCATGTTAGTAGTGATAGTTATATATATATTTGATTACGATTGTTGCTGCCGCTGCTGGTCTTGTTGCTGCATAGGATATCAGTAGTACCAAGATGCTCTTGCATCTGTTATAGGAGCTGCCGGTCAGGGAGTGCCTCCTGGCCTCCTGGACCTTGATCTAACTACCATAGGGGCTCTACCTCACCATAATAACCCCATAATGATTCCTACTGGCCAGGACGCCTGGAGGCCAGCTGAAAATCAGTGCTGAAGGGCGAATTGTGCGGCCGAGTTCGTCTTTGGTTTGCTCTCCTTTCCTGGCGGCCGCTATGTTGACGGGTATCTACAGCGTTATCCTCGTCCTGCAGCTACGATTCATGGATTGGATCGCAATGAGCCCCTGGTGCTTCAGGGGAGGGCCTTTGGTTTTCTTAAGATGTATTAATAGTTGCAGAAACTATAAAATACTTTACTAGTCATTCTCATGTTTTAAGACTAATATCGTAATTATCTGTTAGAAGCAGGTGGCCAGATTCTTCCAAAGCTCCAGTTTGGGATATGGGTAAGAATAAGGGGATTGGGAGCTCATTGAGGAAGTGGCAGGGTTCATGGTTGGGGAGGACGGGAAGTTCCACGACCACTTCTGAATCATGGCATTCATCGAGGTGAGTTGAGTCTAGCTGCGTGGCTCGGTTTGGGGGCCCGGAGTAAACCAGGAGACCAGGGGGCATAGGGAGCCGCCAGGTATAGAAATAAGACTGCCATTCTGAGGGAGCCCAGTAGGAATCATGACGGGGTTATTATGGTGAGTTGAAATGCTGTGTATGATCAGTGGGGAACGCGTTAGGCATTGGAATGGGATTTCCACTCTGGGTGAGGCCTCCTGGCCTCCAGACCTTTCTATCAGAGCTGATCAATTCCTCCTCCTCGTTATATTCGGCCTTGTCATCCACGGACGACTCAAGTCCAATCTCAGTGCCCGATTCAGCAGGCTTCTCCTGGCCTATTAAGTCATGCTCCTCATCACATTTGATCTTGTCACCTACTGACGACCCTCCCTTGCCGTCGTCCCTTGCCGTCATCGTCGCCGTTTTTCGCCTTCCTTGCCTTCCTCGCCTTTAGCGGCCATGGAGGTTCTCAGAAGATGCTTTAGAAGCCAGGTCTCGCTGATTTGGATTGACGATAGGCTCTTTTGTCGTCTCTTGGCCTACTCAATCCTTTTTATGGATTGCCCTGACTGTTGCTGCCAATTCACTAGCAGCAGAGCGATCTGCATGAGCAGAGATTCACATATAGAGTCCCGTAGTGAAGAAAGCTTCAGAATTAGAGGGACCTGGATAAGGCATAGAAGACTGGACTGGCTAAGGCTTGGTTTTCTCTCCTCGGGAAGCAAGGAAACATCAGACCTTAACATAAGATATTAAATAAGCCTAGCAAAATATATATAAGGCTTATTCTAAGCTTATACTAAGTCACCTAAGTCTTCTTATTATTTAAGATAAATATCTTAAGCTTTCTCTCCTCCTTTAGACTCTATACCTATTTACTATTAAGTTCTATAGAATAGTAGTAAAAGCTTAAGATAGATAAGTTAATAGTTTAAAAACTATATATATAGCTACCGAGTTTATCTAGACTGAGAATATACTAATCCGTCCCGGTGGCCTAACAGCTAACTAGATAGTATATTTACTTATATCAGCTCAGCGGTTTGCAAAGAGCTCTATTACATTCTAGCATAGACCTACGAGCTTCGGGGGGCTTAAGGAGATACGTCAAACGTATACTCTGATGCGGCTCTACCAATGTTTACTACATGCATTATCTCGTCGGCTGAATGATCTATTGCATCTCAAGCTGTTGGCAGAAACCATACATGGCATTAAAAGTCGATGAGGAATGCAGGTATGACCGCCATTTACAAACACTGCAGAAACCATCTGGGCAACTCGATATGCGGCTGCCTCTCTTCGTTCGCCATTAAGAGCAGTCCGGCGTTTAGTGCATAGTAACTCCTCTTTAGATAACACAGAGACTAACATGATCAGCAAACTAAAAGAGGCATGCGTTTTGGAATATACGAATAAACTTCAGCGTTATGTTCCAGGATATGTGAATTTCTAAGTATTTGAATAAAGTTTTCCGCGAGCATATAATGGCCTCCTCCTTAGCGTCTTCCTATTCGTCTTCATAAGAACATCCAACTTAGAATACGGTCATATCCTTCCCCTAGATCTCCAGCTATGAGGCTGGAATGATAAGGCAATGGCTGAAAGAGTGCTTCCCTGGACAAGGCTGCCATCTATTCCCGGGTGTAGACTTCAGCTCGTATAGTGCAGGCTTAAAAGTACCTTAATATCGACAGCCAACTATTGAATAGATAATAGAGGCAGGATACTATGCGGAAACGACATGACAGACCTAAACTGCGAACACTACCACAACGACAACTATAGTCTTTTGAGAGCGGATGCCTCAAAGAAAAGTCCTCGCTGCAAGAACTGGAGCCTGGATAAGCTTAGGTCAATGCTTTGACTGTCAGCACATACCACCCACGTTCCTATGGCAATCACAGGCTGCAAATATTGTGGTGAGGAGCGGGGAATATTTTTCCACCGATGTTTCTTTATTATTGTTACTCCTTTGATGATGCAAATGTTATGGGGATGTATCGATGAGTTGCTGGAAATGGCAGGGTGTAAGATGTCGCGACGACGATGGGTGATGATGATATGATGTTGTTGAGAAGCAGTTGTGGTAGTTGGTGAAGATTGGTGACGATAAGGGGGCGGTCATATGTGCTCTGTCCTTACCAATCGGATACTAATAAGATTTGCAGTGTTTGGCAAAAGACAGAATCTGTAAAGGAATATTTACCTGCAGCAAAATAACGGCGGTCCACAGATACTTGATCAAGTGCCACACAAGACCCCGTATAACTTTATATCAAATATTACTGTGGGATATTCTAATAAGTTCAAGAAGTGAAGACCTCTTTGTGGATTACTGTTTGAGTTTGTGCTTCGCTTCAACTTGGCCAGCTTACAATTATAGCATAAATACGCATATTGTCTATTCATCTAGAACTTGACGTCAAACAAGTTCTTTCTTCGAATCCTTTCGCCGTACTTGTAAAAGACAAACGGCAATGGGATCGCTGCAGCTGCAATGAAGCCTAGCAGCGAGGTTCCCCATCCATAACCTAGGCTCTTGTACATACTTCGTCCTGCAAGAGGTAATAATGCCCCGACCAGCGAACGAAGTACAGTGCTTGCAGCAATGGCAGACGCAGCATACTGAACATAGGCATCGACCAGGTAGACTGAGATGCACATCTGGTCAAGAGTCAGCAAGCTGAGATCGGGTTGCGGCATGGAGAGGTAGAGCACTTACAAATACGATGATCATGCCACATCCCAAGAACGAAGTACCGATTATTGGCACAATCCAATGGTCTTTATTCTCAGCAGACCATCCGAACATAAATAATCCAGCCGGAACGATGAAGCAGGCTCCCCCCATGAACGGAAGTCGATACTCTGGCTTGGGCTCTCCACCATTCTTGCTAGTAAGATACTGAGCAAAGCGGTCTATTGATGCTCCAGAAATGACAAGGCCTGTCAAGGAGCCAACTCCGAGACCAATATACGACAGGCCAACTGATCCGCTGGAGAAATGATATTCTCCTTCAAAGAGTGATGGCATAGCTGTGAAGAGGAGGTAGAGATACCCGTACACCAGAGCCATGTAAAATGATAGTAGCGACACGATGGGCGCGAAGAGAAGCATCTTAGTAGGCCTCGTAATGGCCAGGCGGAAGACTTCCTCCGTAGTCGTGCCATTGTCAAGGATTGACCGAAGCTTAGTGTTCCCTGTTTCTTTGCGCAGCTTCTTGGTCTTCTTCTCAAGAAGAGCGTACGCATATGTTTCTCTCATAAAAATGAAAGCAACAATCGTGATAGCACCAGCCTATCGATAGTCAACGTCAGCCTCTGGTTCAAGATCCAAGTATAGATATAAGATTTTACTTACAACAATAGCAACAACCCAGAAAGACCATCGCCAGCCCTTCGCTGACGAAAGATATCCACCAGCTGGAGTTGTCAGCTTTGGGCACCACTCAACCTAAAGTTTCACTTACCAATTGGTCCAATTACTGGTCCAAAAAGAGGTCCGAGAGCCCACGAAGACATGGCAGCTCCACGCTTCTCCTTGGAGATCATATCAGCTAACGAGCCAGCTCCGATTGTCAACGGGCAGGATCCAGCAAGACCAGCAAGGAGTCGGAATGCAATCAGTCCCCCCAGGTTAGGGGCCTTGGCGCAGGCCACAGTGAAGGCGACGAAGAGAACATTGCAGATGTGGTACAGCGGGAGTCGGCCGTACATTTCAGACAAGGGCGCGATGACTAGGGGACCAAAGCAGTAGCCGAGAAGGTATACCGAGACGATGAACGATGCCAGTTGCTCGTTTGTCGAGTGGAACTCCCTCATGACTTGATCGATACTTGGTGCAAATATGGAGGACGCAAGTGGCCTGGAAATGTTAGATGAGGGAGCTTTATGATGGGGAAATGAACTGTTGGTACGTGACGAATGTAACCGATGAGACGAGGATGACATTGATTGTCTTCTTTTTGGTTGACCAATTCTGGGGGTTGGCTGGGTCGTCAGGGCCGTCCCAATCAACAGCATTGGGGTCGTCGGAAGGAGGATCATCGAATTCGACTGATGTTGATCCCTCTTCAAGATCTCTTTCGCTCTTCTTGAGATCCTCTTCGGGTATTGGTGCTGGAGTGGCAGCACTGACCAGCTGGTCGTCAACTTCGACATGTTTCATGCTGTCTTGTATGTGCTCGAGGGAGTAATTCGACACTTATGAGTAGGTTCTGGTCACCCGATAGTCTAAGTTCTGACGGACAGCATGAGGCAAGAAGTTGCTCGTGTAAGGCTGAGGGTCTAAAAGGAGTTCGGAATGGTTGGGTAGGGGCCTGTTATTATATGCTTGATCCCCAGCAGATCCAAAGCTTCCCTAGAGGCACTAATGCATACTACAAACGAAGGGACCATTTGACCGGGAGCCTCAACGGCAAACAGCTTATGTCCGTGTCTTAACATCGAGGCCGGTCTACCAATCTGGAGGCCGGGAGTCATTGGGAAGTGGGTGCAGATGATCCAAGCCAATCTCGATAATGGTAAGGATTGGTAATAGTTACAGCCCTCGCTATTCATCCAGAAGGATTTATCCTACTGAACCAATAGTTCCAGTCAAATCAACAAATAGGAGGGATAAGCAACCCTAAATGTAAGGAAGTAATGATATAAGTTGTCCCGCGTCGGGGTCGGGGCCATGGATGTTCCGCGGAGTTTCCATGGGGAATGGCATTTTCGCCCGTTCTTAATCACTGCCTATTCATTCTTCACAACAAAGCCAAGGAAAAAACCCACCGTAACAGTACAACTGAAGCAATGGGTCGTCAGCCTCGTCAGCGTCCTGTGTCTTGTAACTTCTGCCGTGTGCGCAAGTTGCGCTGCAGTAGAGAATTTCCGTGTTCCAATTGCACAAGCCGCGGAGTTCAATGCCAGGCTCAAGACCCACCCCGGGCAACGGGCCCGTCTTCACGGCCGGTTTCCAAACGTGCAGGCGGAGGTGTAAGCGGAGGCGGAGGCGGAGGCGGAGGCGGAGGCGGAGGCGGAACATCTTCTGAGGGCAAGGAGGCGGACATTCTCTCGCGATTGGAGAGGCTGGAAGCTCTTCTCGCAGAACGAAACAAAGAGACTGACTTTCACTCTAACCCTCGAACAATATCATCAGCCCCTTCGAGTGTTGAAGGCAGTGATGTTGCTCCCCGGACACAGCTGGAGCCTCTACAACCTTTGCCAATCAATGTTCAGAACTTGACGGCTGATGCTCTTTGGCTCGAGAGTTCATGCCTTGGCCCAAAGCCATCGGTAAGTCCAAAACTCTTGGCACCACTCAACAAGTCGACTCACACAAGTTACCTATCTAGGAATCCGTATTGGTCGACAACATTGTGTTCCGCATATGTCCTATACGCTCAATTGCACAGCCTTCATGCTACATCTTTCAAAACTCAAGTGTCCCCTCAGGGTTTCTCTCTTTGGAACCAACAAGGTGCATCTGGTTGCCTCAACGACATGAAACCAAGGTTTTGGTTCACAAGTACACCTCGGTCATTACTTTTATGCATCATGTTGTACACACTCCAAGCCTGTATAAACTCGTCGATGAGGTCTACGATGCCGTTGAAAAGGGGGCACAAGCTTCGCTGTGCTCAGTTCTCCTGATGCTTGCGGTCTGCACCAACGTCACATACGCATGGACAGCAGTAGACAACAACATGACGTCTCTCTTCTGTGATTATACAGAGGCAAACACCCAGTCGTTCGGATGGCTCAAATCAACCTTTGATGTATTCGATGCATCGCAGCGGAGGTCGGAGATAGGTCTCGAGCTGGCTCAGGGTCTCATCATCGTGAGTTTCGTCCTGTTGAACTTGGAAGGAGTTTCCTCCCGAGCTCGAAACTGTTTTTTCAATTCCATCACCATTTGCCGTGAGCTCGGACTGCACCGACTGGATCACCCTCACAACCCTCCCTCGGTGCAGATACCCCAGCTCAGTCCTCTCAAAATGGAGACTGCTCGGCGAGTTTGGTGGTACCTCATTGGTACAGATGCGTAAGGCCTCCATGTCCAAAACTAAATAGCGTTTGATCTAATGGTTTACAGCATGATATCTCGATTTCCAGGCCCACATGAAGGCACCTACCTGATCAATCCAAGGCAAATGAATGTCAGAAAACCTCTGAATGCCGACGATGAAGATCTTGTAGAAGGACAAGAGTTGGTGGGAAAGCCAATAAATTGTGCCACCAACATGTCTTATTTCTTACAGAGGGTACGGCTCGCTGAGGTCGTCCGCAACTTCACTGACCGAGTACCTCTCACAAATTCCTCAAACCCAGATGTCCACTCATACGACCTTGTTTTGGAGGTTGATGCGGCCATCGAGCAATTCATTGAAGATCTGCCCCCGTTCCTCAAGTTTAATACGGATGACCTACAGCAACTCCCTCCTACAGAAACGCATAAAAGACCAGGACTAATTATTCAGCGTCATGTCATGAATGTCTTTGTCCATGGCCAAAGATGCAAACTTCATCTCCCGTATCTAGCCCGTGGCGCAGTCGAGCCTACGTATGCTCGCTCCCGGCGCGTGTGTCTTGATTCAGCACGCATGGTCATACAAACAGAACACCAACTCGAGAAGGAAGCTACAACTTTCAACTCGACACGGCTCAGGTTATGTTTAGTCTTGCATAGTGTATTCATCGCCAGCATTGTTCTTATTTTGGACTTCTGCCTAGGCGCCGATGCCGACGAGAAAGAACAAAGAAGAGAAGACTTATTGGAAGCCTGGGACATATTGGAGGCGGCCAAAGAACTTTCCAGACCCACGGCTCGCATACAAGATCTATTGACACAGGTGATGAAGAAGCATAAAGTGACGCTGCCAGTGGGCAAGGAGAGGCAGAGACCGGTGAGATGTGAAAACCTTCCACCTACACCAAGCTCGTCAACTGCCATGTTGTCAAATGACACGACACCAAATGATGCCATAGCATCTGTCCAAGAGCTGAGCGACATGGGATTGAATATGGACTTGGAGGGAATGGATTGGGAGAATTTACTTTGGGGTTTAGAGGCTCCTTTATTCTAAGGTTCCACTCAACAGCAACCGACGATGGTTGGTAAATTATATCACCTAATCAACAGTGTTGACTTTGTGCCTTGTCATTCAAAAAGATAGAATTAAGTGATCGTCGGGTGGTCTAATGGTGGATTGAAGCGTCCTTAAGGAACATATTGATAAATGAGCAAACGTCCGCATTGGAATCTGAGGCCTGTAAATAGGAATATCTTCATTCGGTATGGATAAAGTAGGAAGCACGTATCTTGAATACTCGAAATGAAATAAGCCAACTGTGGCATAGACTGGATGTTGGTGCAGAAAAGAAAACTGAGGATCTTGATCCTCAATTGTAAAAGATTTTAGTGATACAGTATAAGTTTAGGAAATACCTAATAATAAGCTCTGGTATTTCTTGCTCCTAGGGGACATTCATAACATCACAGATAAGTCAGAATGGTTCACGTTTGGTAAAAAAAAGAAAGCTTGATATGGCTACAAGAGGAATTTTGTTGATTTCTTAGTACACAGCTCACAAAGGAGACTTGGTAGAGCTCGTGAGAAACATCTCAGGACTTTTGTTCCCCTTCCCTGAAAACGTGTCTGCCATTGCTCTCCTCCCGTCTCCCGCAGCATTAACTTCAATACTTAAACCCCCTACTGACCCTCAAGCTCAGCAAGAATCTTCTCACCCTTGGTCTTGGCGGAGGCGAAGTCACCAACCATGTAGAAGGCACCCTCAGGAAGGTTGTCACCTTCACCGTTAAGAATGGCCTTGAAGGAGTTGATAGTCTCCTTCAGGTCGACGAGCTTACCCTCGATACCAGTGAAAACTTGGGCAACAGTGAAAGGCTGGCTCAGGAAACGCTGAATTTTACGGGCACGCTCGACAGTAAGCTTGTCAGCCTCAGACAACTCATCCATACCCAGAATGGCAATGATATCCTGAAGAGACTTGTACTCCTGGAGGATCTGCTGGACACGGGTGGCGACGTCGTAGTGCTCTTGACCAACAACTCGGGGATCCAACATACGGGACTTGGAATCGAGAGGGTCGACAGCGGGGTAGATACCCAGCTCAGAGATACCACGAGACAAGACAGTGGTGGCGTCCAAATGAGCGAAGGTGGTGGCAGGGGCAGGATCAGTCAAATCATCAGCAGGGACGTAGACGGCCTGGACTGAGGTAATGGAACCCTTGGTGGTGGTGGTAATACGCTCCTGCATACCACCCATGTCGACGGCCAGAGTGGGCTGGTAACCGACGGCAGAGGGGATACGACCGAGAAGGGCAGACACCTCGGAACCGGCCTGAGTGAATCGGAAAATGTTGTCAATGAAAAGCAGCACGTCCTGACCCTCCTCATCTCTGAAGTACTCAGCAACAGTCAAACTGTCGAGATATAACATTAGCTAGCGTCCAAGAGTCGTAAACAGAACATCGTGTTGCAGTATGAGTAGCAATGTCTTGGGGAGTGGTGGTGTTGAGGTGTTGTAACAGGAAGGGAAGGCACTATCTATCAACTTACCCGGTAAGGGCGACACGGGCACGAGCTCCAGGGGGCTCGTTCATCTGGCCGAAAACCAGGGCGACCTTGGACTCGCCATCAAGCTGAATAACGGAAGTCTCCTGCATTTCGTGGTACAGATCGTTACCCTCACGGGTTCGCTCACCGACACCAGTGAAGACAGAGTAACCACCGTGGGCCTTGGCGATGTTGTTGATGAGCTCCTGAATGAACACAGTCTTGCCGACACCAGCACCACCGAACAGACCAATCTTTCCACCACGGGCGTAGGGAGCAAGAAGATCGACGACCTTGATACCAGTGACGAGAACCTCAGCGGAGGTGGACTGCTCGACGAATTCGGGGGCTTCGGTGTGAATAGGAAGGCGCTTGTCAGTCTTGATGGGGCCACGCTCGTCAATGGGGTCACCAGTGACGTTCATGATACGGCCAAGAGTTGCGGGACCAACAGGAATGGTGATGGGAGCACCAGTGTCCTGGGCGGAAGCACCTCGGACGAGACCCTCAGTACCTGAAAGAATGTGTTAGGGATTTCAAGTATGAGAAATTTCGAAACGATCAAAACGTACCGTCCATAGCAATGCAGCGGACGACGTTCTCTCCCAAGTGTTGCTTGAGGATGTCAGAATTGGCCAGTCATATGAGGCATTTGGATGTGAACGTACGGAAACCTCGAGAACGAGCTTCTGGCCATTGTTCTCAGTCTCAAGAGAGTTGAGAATGGCGGGGAGCTTCTGAGTATCGAACTTGACTACAAAACGTCAGTATTGTTTTCGCCATCTTGTGCCAGGCTCGCCGAGAGCCTGTGATAATGATTGACTAACCGTCGACGACGGCACCGATGACCTGCGAACAGTCGGGTTAGCACGGAGTTCTTGTGCAGTCGATATTGCCCGGGCGACCGGAATTGACTGAGGAGCGGCTCTTTCTCACCTGGTGAATCTTGCCGGTGCCGACGCTGGCAGTGCTCGCCCATCGGCTGGAAATGGGGAGTCGGAGAGCTGAAGGTCGGAGGGCACGTCGAGGGAGGACGGCCGGGCGAGCCGCGCGGGCGAAGGAGGAAATGCCGCTGCCGAGGGAAAAACACAAGGGTCAGCTCAATTGGGCTTCAATTGGGGGGCAACGCCATCGAAAAATCTTCGACATTCGTTCTTGCGATCGTTACTCACCTCTTGAACATCTTGCCAGATGACAAAGAGCGATCAGAGATGGGAGTGGAGAGAGGATGGTTGAAGCTGAGGGAGAACTTTTACGGGAGGTGAGCAGTTTTGCTCGGGAGGACGACTTGGTCGGTTAGAGCTTTCGCAAAGCGTCACGTGGAACGCTAGCCCGAAATTACCTCTGGCCCCGCCGGGGAAGCTGCGATGCCGGCAATTTCCCGGGATGAACATGACGGGATTATTCGCAGACCTGGCGCTCCTACCTACTTGTCCTCGGGGAGCAAGAAAATATTGTACCTTGACATTAGGGTGTCAACATAAATTTAGCAAAAGATATCCTAAACTCGACTAAACTTATACTCATTTATCTAGGCTGTTTTAATTATTGAGGATCAAGGTCCTGAGTTTTCCTTCCCCCTCTAGCTTGTAAACAGAGCCAGGCATTTTAGGGGCCATATAAACCAGTGTAAACAGCGGCAGTAGAGAGAAAGAGAGAGATACCTTGCAATCATCATTAAGTCCCCATTCGTAGGTAATCCTGCAGGCGTAATTAAGTGGCATTAGTCATCTCCAACTTATTGGACCGATCCATTCTTCCTCAGAAGGGTGAATGACTGTACATCGATTCGTACCCGAAGCCGAATCTTTAGCCAGTGATCTCAGCCTTGGCTCTATACGTAGAATTGACTCAATTGTTGAAGTTGAGGGCATCAGTGATCTCGCAGTTAAAAACCCTTGGATGTCATATTGAGAGGTAAGAATCAAAACAGAGCAGGGAAAGCAGCATTATTAACCTGGCTTAGTTTACCCCGTACCTGTCTACTGCTGAGTTCAATGAGACGGTGGTGGAATCTCAAGATGGATTGCCTGATGATCTGAAAACCACGGAAGTACTGCGTAATTAACAAATACCGGGCTCAGTGGAGATAAGGAGTGCGGGCTGATCAAATCGACACGTTGATTGTTATACTATGATTGATTCACGTCTCCATTACAATGTCATGATTTCAATCACCACCAGCCTCATCCACGTTCTTTTCAACAAGAGATGCTTTCAATTCAAGGCTTTTCTGGGGCAACAATACCAGTCAGGGATCCCCATCTTGCATCCCATCTTCTTCCCTCGGGAGTTTAACCCTATTGGTCAGTCTATCAACCACGACGAGATGGTCCTGGTTCAAACCAATAACAACAGGCAATTGCTAGTTGCAAGTTTTAGGTGGCCCATTTAAATTTTGGCTGAGATTTGCCAATTAGTTACTATCTCATTCTCACTTTTTCTCCCCTCTGAGCCGTTCTCAGGGAGTAAGAAAATGCCAGACCTTAATATAAGGTATCAAAATAAACTCAGCAAAAGATATCCTAAATTTAGTATAAATTCAGGCTAAACTTATACTAAGTTATTAAGTCTTTTCATCACTCAAGATCAAGGTCCTGTTTTCCCCCCCCCCTGGTGAGTCGTGACCGTTCAGGCCCCAATTAATAGACCCCGGTTTAAACCTATTAGATCTCAACCTGACGACATCCAGATTAGCTTCGGAACCGGGTTTCAATTAACACTTACATCCATGAAGGACACTAGAGTTGTTCGACTTCAACAATTGAGCCAATTCTACTTATACTTTGAGGCTATCGCAAGACAAGTCTTTTGCAGCTCCCTCTAGGAATCGATGCCTCATTTTCTTTTATAGCTCCTTTATCAATTCGACGGCCAATTGGTTTAGTCTATCCGTATAAAATTCCAAGTTCTCTTTATTTGGTGATTTTTTGCAATTTGGCTGTGATTCGAGCTGGCATTGCGTGGCACTGGCAGCTCGAATATTCCACTGCCACCTTCTAATCTGTTGATCGGTCCGCGTGTCGTATAATAATCTCCTTTCGTTTTGATCATCATTCTTTTCTCTTTAAGCATCACAAATTACTTCGATATGTGCCCTCATATTTCGCCGCGCGATTTCAGCACTCGCAGCGCCTAGCTATCGTTTGCGCAGTATCTATTCGATTCTTCCCTCCCCCCCCCCCTGTTTTGAGAGTCTCTACATTGCCGAGATGGCGAAGTATGTTATTTTCACCGCTCGAAATGACGAGTTACTGACTGTATGCAGGGCCACTACTCAAAACCCAGCCGAGCCCAAGCTAGGGGAGGAAAGAAAACACAGCCCGGAAGGGTGTTGGCGGCAGAGTGGACAAGGACAAGACGCCCGGTGGCGGAAAGAAGGGGCCAAGCCACCAAGGCTGACGCTGAGTGAGTTCGCCTTTTGTTTTCTTGTTTCGCTTCCATTGCTAATGTCAACTTACCTAGCGACGACCCTCCCCCCGTGGAACGCAAACCGCCCTGCAGACCATGCCTGAAAAGCGCGCTTCACGGACGGAGCGATGGGGTCTGTATGCAGAAGCCGAACAAGAACCGCTACGAGCGGTGTTCTCGTGGTGGAGAATGCACTGTCATGTGAGTTTCGGAATACGGTTTTACACTTCGTTTTGCTAATTTGCATCGCCTTTAGTCCTCCTGACGCGAGGGGTGTTTGCCTCTTCTTTTGGACGTATCACCGCGCTCATCCCAATGTCAATGATGAGGATGATGAGGATGACGAGAATGAGACCAACCCGTCTGTTAGTAACTTACGCCGCAAATCGGTATTTCAAGCCTTGCTAATCAATTTGGCCTTTAGGATATCGCCAAGGAGAAGGGAAATCGTCGCATCGCTGCGAAGACCATTTTGAAGGGTTACTTCACGGGAGGAACAGAGTCTATTCCGCCTGAAAGAGGGAAAAAGTTAATGTGTTATTTTGACCGAGTGGCTTGGATTTATCTTACGTGATGTTGAAATAGCCGACCAAATGAAATGAAATGAACTTCACGGGAGGCTTCCCTGCTACTTGGGACGCTCGAGGAGAAGAATGAAAAGGACAAGCGTCGCCGCCAACACTGTTATGAAAGGAGTTGAATCGGGCGAATTCCGCGTTCTTGTGAGATGTAATTGATTGGGAGGTAGTGAATGCCCCTATCCTATATACGATAGTGCCAAACTATAGGTATCTTAGAGAAGGGAAGAAAATAAGGACCTTTATCCTCAGTGAAGAAAAATACTGAGGGAAGTTTAGAACAGGTTGATCTGGCACCATAATTCAACGTCAGAAGCCTTATTCCTTCCTGACGAGTGCTAATTCAGTTCTGATTTTGAATTGCAAAACCTTAAATTGAGTTTTAAAACCTCCAGTTCAACAGCATCCAAGGGTTTATTTGCTGCAAGACCAATGATCAATGTCTTGCGGCTGGTAAAAGAGGTATCGGGACACTGAAGTTGTTGTTCTTGACTGTTGACTTTTATTATTTCAGATGTTATAATATATCTGCAAAACAAAACAAAGCAGAGACACATCAACGGTCTCAATCAACAACGGCGCACTTTGTAATAGTCCCCGGCAAATGAAGGAATCAGATACATCTTGCAGCTTCACCACGACCCCGGCTTCCATCTCTTATCTTCCATACTCAGGACTGCTGGGAAATTGTGGACTCAAGAGCCAGAACCTGCAAGATCATGTTAGGAAACGCAAATAGTCATTTGAAAACCGGGTTCGCTTACCAAAGCAGTTCGGCAGGGGATATAGATATGAGTCCAGTTCTTCCTGTTGTTCCATTCCATAGGGGTAGTGAAGAATCGGGTGTTCTCATCGACACGGTTGTGACCACCAACATCCTTGCTATCTGTGTTGAGAACTACACGGTAAGTTCCTGCGACATCAATTCCGATACGGTAGTCGCTGAAGCTGTTGGTTGGGTGGAAGTTAAAGATAAAGACCAGACCACCGCGCTCAAACACAATAACCTTGTCACCTTCATGTTTCAATGAGATATACGCCTGTGGCGCGTGGAGCCAACCATATTTGGCCTCAGTCTGGTTCATCAAGCGGTCAAAGTGATCCAGGAACTTGTATCGGAGCAAGGGATCATCCGTAAGGTTGAGCTGTCGCCGAGCATACCAGAATGAGTTGTTGTTGCCCTCACGCGGGAAGTCGAGCCACTCAGGGTGACCAAACTCGTTACCCTCAAAGTTCAGATATCCCTCTCCTCCGAGGCCATGTGTCACAAGTCGAATCATCTTGTGGAGTGCCATACCACGATCAATGACAGGAGTCAGGGGCGACAGAGTAGACATGTTGGTGTACATTTCAGCGTCACATAGATGCATCATGAGTGTTTTGTCACCAACAAGCCTGTGCATGTTAGTGGCTGAAAGTGAAACAAGTCAAAGGAGCATTAACTTACGCCTGGTCGTGGCTCTCAGCATAGGCGATGGTCTTCTCGCCATGTCGACGGTTGGTAAGCGTATGGCAGATGTTGCCAATGTCCCATTCATCATCCTTGAGTTCTTTCAGAATCTTGATCCACATATCAGGAATGGCCATAGCAAGGCGGTAGTCGAATCCCACGCCACCAAGAAAAAGTGGCAGGCAAAGTGCCGGCATACCAGAGACGTCCTCAGCAATGGTAATGACCTCTGGGTAGAGTTCATGCAGCATTTCATTTGCAAGCATCATATAAACAACAGCCTCCTCATCAACATCTGCGCCGAAGTACTCATGATAGCCACCGGAAAAGCCCCTGTTGATGTTAGCACGACAAGCCAATAAGATTTGTGATAGTGTCACTTACGTGCCCATGCCATGATGAACATATAGCATGCTGGTAACTCCGTCAAATCGAAAACCGTCGAATTGGTACTCGTCCATCCAAAAACGCAAGTTGCTGAGCAAGAACCGCATCACCTCATGGTGGCCGTAGTTGAAAAGCCGGCTATCCCATTGATCGTGTCGGCCCTTGCCGCCACCATGGAAGTAATGGTGATCGGTACCATCAAACTCGTTGATGCCATCGAGCACGTTCTTAGAAGCGTGGCTGTGAACAACATCGAGTAGCATGGTAATTCCGAGGCCGTGTGCGGTATCAATGAGCTCCTTGAGGTCCTCGGGAGTACCGTATCGACTGCTAGCAGCGAAGAAGTTGTTGATTTGATAGCCAAAGCTGGCATAGTACGCATGTTCCATCACAGCCATCAGTTGAATCACATTGTAACCTAGGTTCTTAATTCGTGGAAGCATGTTCTTGGTAAACTCCTTGTAAGTCGCAACCCGTTGGTCAGGGCTGGAAATTCCGACATGCGCCTCATACACACGAACACTTGCAGGCTTCTTGGGCCGGGCGTTTTTGAACTTGTATGTCTCGGAGGCTGGAGGATTCCAGAAGTGAGCATCGTATGCGGGAGACACAGACAAATCCTGTGTCACGTACTTGATCCAAGCCGGGAGTCGATCAACATGCTCACCGTTGGGCAAGTTGAGCGAGATCTAGGGAGACATATTAGATGCCATGTGTTGTAATTGCGTCTGGATTTTAGCCCACCTTGACTTTGGAAAGATGAGGAATGGCAGGCTGTCCATCTTGGGCAGAAATTGTAATTTCGAAGACGCCGAAATCGTTCTTGGTCATGGGATGAGCATTGCGGTCCCAGTTATCTAAGGCAAATTGTGTAAGCACATTGTATACACGATTGAGTTTGGAGACGTACTGAAGTCGCCGATCAGGAACGCGGCGGTGGCATTAGGCGCCCATTCACGGTAGATAATGTTGTTATCAGCATCGACGTTGAAGCCGAATTTCTCAGCGCCCTAGAAACAACAAGTGTCAGTAACGCGACTCGCCGAATGGGAAGCTGGAAGCCTACCCTGCTGAACTTCTCAAGGCCACCTTCGGTGTCGTTGATGGTCTTGATCCAATCTTGAGTTTTAGAAAAGCGTCTTCTGAGGGCTTCGCTGAAGGGCTCCAGCCAAGGATCGAGCTTCACAACGCCTAGAATAAATTGTGAGCGTGGTGTTCTTGACTATCAGATCATCACATGTCAGGCCATGCGTAGACTTACCAGTACCGTCGTTAGGGATGTCACCCGCAGCACCGCCAGAGTGATTGGGGTCCAAGGAATTGGACGAGTTTTCAGCAATTGCGGCCATTTTTCAAAGTTGAATTGAAAATACGACGCGGTTGTAGAAGGGAGGGAGGTCTCGAGGTGGGCGGGGTAGTCAGGATATTGATGTTGCAAGCTTCAGACAATTGTTGAGCTTCAAGTGAGACACAATTGGGGAGACGAAGAATGGACACAGAAGCACAAGGGATCTTAAAGCAACTTCCCAGATGAAAAGAGGCTTGAAAAATAAGATGAAGAATCAGAAAATTGTGGCAACACAAGAACTGCAATATCAGAGACCTTGCAACCTCCTATCTAGCTCATTCGCCTAAGGTAACCAACCTTTCAGTTTCAGTTCGGGTTGCCCACCCACTCAGAGCTTTATCGATAAGTTGGGATGACGTCGCGAATGGTGAATTTCTCCCAACGGCTACGGTACGTATCTGCACGCTGTCCCTTAAATGGAAGGCATTTTCAGTCTATGTGCCTACAACGCTCAACATGTGGTTGAGAGTGGTAGAGTGGGTGACACTGGACCCAACCAAGAGCCTCGTAATATCGCCACTTCCTGTAAAGGACTCTTCTGATGTTGCGCGAGAATCATTGTGCAGGTTGGACGGGTCCCATCAAACTCATGGAGCAAATAGTCTGCGCTTTGGGTGTGCTTGGGGACGCCGGGGGCTAGTATCAGATCCCCCATGTCGGCCCGGCTTGTTTAGCGGGGACGCTGCTGCGGTCTAGGCCTGTCAGTGGTTGCTACTCGCTAACAGCTCCTGCACGCAATTCCATGCCTGGTACCTACGGTAGGTACGTAGTAGTAGACAAATGGCCTGGGCTCTAAGCTGGAGGTTAGGTAAGGTGCCTACCTAGGTAGGTACCTATCTAAGCTTCCACCTCACCCGGCCCCGATAGCGGACGCTGCTGGCGGAAGGGCCCCGTCTCGGACCTGGAGGTTAGTAGAAGCGTAGGTCGGTAGGTATCACAAAATCCTCCATTCCGTCACTAATAAGGTACAACCATAGAAGCATCGTCTCCTTACGCCAGTCCTATAACCAATCTCGCTGTAACCATTTATTTCCATGCTATCGAAGCGATAGGCTCTATCGTTGGCCTTGCTCTCGCACGACCGCAGTAAGCTGTAACCGGTCCCCGCATCCCGTCATCGTCGGCCCAGATACACTACAACTCAGTCGACTGTCACCTGACGCTCCGTTCTGTATCATCCTTCAATATTATTCAAACTGGATATATCTCATAATGCCGCCCTTCGCAAGGGCACTCCCTAACGCTCGTTGCTGTCTTTGCCATCTCTCGCGCTGTGTCACACGGCCGGTACCTACTACGACACGTTGCCTATCCTCTTCCAATTCTCGATTACGACAACAATACCGCTATATCTCAGGCTCCTCTATAGCTTCACGGCGCAACAACGACTTCAATTCAGGCTTCAGCAGCAGCTATGACCCATCAGTCGATGCGGGGCGCGGCCCCATGTTCAACAAGACCAACTTTGGCGTACCGCAGTTCTACCCACGCGATCTCAAGAAAAGAGTGGACGACTACGTCGTTGGCCAGGACCGGGCTAAGAAGACAATATGCGCAACCATCTTCAACCACTACCAGAACCTGCGGCGAAGACACCAACATGAGCACGAAGACCGGAACAGGCGGGACAAGGTAATGCGCCAGAGGTTTGCGAGAGACAGAGAACTGCATCAGAAGCGTCGTGAGATGCACCCTGTCGAAGGTCAGCGTGTACATGGTTCTATCCCTGGGCGCTACGCTGCTGATACTCTTAAAGATGAGTTCCCGGGCCATAATGAGTCGGTCCGTGCGCTTCACGATAACCACGAATT